CTAAATCCACTTCAAAGGATTTCCATCAGCAGCACGTCCCTGCTCCCTTCTTCATTCTCCCTGTGATGTGCCAGGAACGCCTCTCCAAAGTCCTGAGGGAGCAGGAATGGCAGCAGGATTCATGGCTGGAGTCGGTGTGACACAGCCCGAGGCTCTGGGTGCTTCTTCCTGGCCCTCCTCAGGAGAGGACAGAGTTGTCCAGAGCCAGAGCCAGAAAAGTGGGAATTTCCACACTAAACCGTCAGGGAGGTTTTCCCAGTCCCCATCAGGGTCACAGAATGGTTTGGGTTGGGAGGGACCTTAAAGCCCATCTCATCCCACCCCACCATCCCAGGCTGCTCCAAGCCCCAGTGTCCCACCTTGGGCACTGCCAGGGATCCAGGGGCAGCCCCAGCTGCTCTGGGAATTCTATCCCAGGGCCGTCCCACCCTGCCAGGGAACAATTCCTGCCCAAGATCCCATCCAGCCCTGCCCTCTGGCACTGGCAGCCATTCCCTGTGTCCTGTCCCTCCATCCCTTGTCCCCAGTCCCTCTCCAGCTCTCCTGGAGCCCCTTCAGGCCCTGCAAAGTTGTGGTGAGGTCACCCTGGGCCCCCCAACGTGGTTGGGCTCCTAAATCTGTCAAATTCGATCATAAATTAGGCCAAATTTTTTTTCTCCACATAGAAATGACGCAGTTTTGGTCAGGACGGGGTGACAGGGCAGCTGCCAGGAGGCTCCAGGAGCTCCCTGCCCTTGGTGCCAACATCACCACCCTCCCAGAGCCCCTGACCGAGGATTTCCGTGTCTGGAACCAGAGCTCAGCAAAGGAATAAAGGTGGGGAGAAGCCCTGAGCAGCGAGGGTTTGGTGTGGGACTGGGAGCGAACTTTCCCACTGGAAATCAAGGAAATTCCCACCCTCACGCACGGCTGGAGAGGAGCTGGGAGGGAACCGTGATTCCCTGGAGCACAGGATGCATGGAATAGGGTCACTGCTGGTAATCAAAGCATGATTCGATGCTGGGGGACTTAATTTGGTGCAGATGAGTTCTGCAGTTGCTTCAGAGCAGGGAAAACAGGAAAGCTCCAGGCGATGCCGGCGCTGTTCCTCACACAAGGCTCCAGATGCTTCCAGACTCGCTGGGAACGTTTGATCTGGGAAATGGCACCTGGGCTTCATCTTTTTGGTGTTATCTGCACTCCTGCCAGCAGTTAAAGGCGCTCATGGCACGGTACTGTGGCCACAATTTGGGCTGGAGGGAAGGGAGCGCTGAGCCCATTTCCCCATTCCCTCCTTTTTAAGGGAAACCCCCTGGATTTGGGGTGAGCACCCCCTCCTCATCCATACACTCCTAATTCCCATCTCTTAGTGAGCTTGTCAGCTCTAATTTCCTTTGGAAAGGGCGGGGGGATGATTATTAATTAGGAAATTAATGAAAATAATGCTGATGGGCATTACCGTAATTACCCGCCGGGCGTTACCGTAACCACACACGGCGCTCTCCAAAGCCCCAATCCCTGGGTTTGCTCCAGTTGGAATTTTCTCCTCGCTCCCTGCAATCTGTTTGTTTTCCCTGCCGCTGCCGCACGGATTGAAGGTCGGGATTGCTACAGGGGGGTTGCACATGGCATAAACCATTGATCCTTGCAGCCTGCTTGATCCCTGCGGAGCAATTCCCGGGAAGCAGAGCAGCTCCAGAGCATCCAGACATCCAGGAAAAATCCCAAAACCCCGCCACGAGCAGGGGAACATCCAGGATGCCTCGGTGTCTTTGAAAGGGTGGGGGGTGTGTGATAAAGTGAATCCTGCCACGGTGCCAGCACTTTTTGGGATGACAAATCCCAAGAAACTTTGCAAATCCTGTGGGAATTCCCACAGCTCCGGGAAGCTCAGCTGGGTTTGAGCCTCGCAGTCCTTTTGGCAGTGCTGGGATTCTGCTGCCCGTGGTTATAAAAGGCTGCAAAAGTGAGGGAGATAAAGGCTGCGGGGGGCAGATTCCCGCTTCCCGACGGGATCCGAGAATCCCGAGGGTTTTTCTCTGCTGCAGATGCCCGGGGTGACCTTGTGCTGGTCACAACATCACTTTGTGCCTCTCTCTGTGGGGTAAAGCCCCTTCCACCGGGCTCACCCGGCTGCTTGTGAGGGAACCTGAGAGCGGTTCCTGCCGTCCTCCGCTGCCGGCGTTTCCCTGGCTCCCGAAGAAAGGCCTGGATGCAGGGAAATGCTGCAGCACACGCTGGGCTCCGGGGCTGTGGGAGGCTCACGTGTCCGGGCTGCTGCTTGCGGCTGCTGCAAAGACGTCACAGGGAGGAGAGATGGGGTCAGGGCTCCCCTCGCCTGCCAGCGCTCGCTCTGCCTCGCTCCCACCCCTGCTGCTCCTCACGCTCCTTCTCACAGCTTTTGCTTGGCAGTTTCAGAAGGGATTTTGTCCCTCCTGCTGGAGGAGACCCTGCGGGACAAAATCTGTAGCCCAGCGCTGGGGGATGTGTTCCTGGAGAGCCAGAGCCCCTCACATCCCAACCCTTCCTGTGTCCTGTGGGATGGCAACCTTCACATCCCTCTCCTGGCCATATCCCAGGGGACACCAACCTTCACATCCCTCACCTTTGTGATTCCCATGAGACAGGATTTAAGGTGCTTGACTTACCCTGAATGTGAGGTCTCACTGTGTGATGGTGAGAGTAGGGCTGGATGGGATCTTGGGCAGGAATTGTTCCCTGGCAGGGTGGGCAGGCCCTGGGATGGAATTCCCAGAGCAGCTGGGGCTGTCCCTGGATCCCTGGCAGTGCCCAAGGCCAGGCTGGATGGGTTTGGAGCAGCCTGGGACAGTGGGAGCTGTCCCTGCCATGGCTGGAGTGGGATGGGATGGGATTGAAGGCTCTTTCCAACCCAAGGCATTCCAAAATTCCCAGTTTCTGTGGCACTGGCAGGTTGCTGTGGGAGATGCCGTTGTCCCAGCAGGTCAGACCCCCCTTAGGTGCCATCAGCTTCCCACCTCTGCTAATCTTGAGTTCAGGGAGAGGAGAAGATGGGTCACAACTTCCTTTGCTCCAGGTGGCCAAAGGCTGAGCTGGAATCCCATCTGGATGTTCTGGAGCCGTGCCCTGCCCGGCCTGGTCTGTCAGAGGGAGCGGAGGCCGGGATTTTGGGCACGTGTCCCACAGCACGTGGGGCAGCCTCGTGCCATCTTCCCAGGAGAGCCTGGGAGCTGGGAAGGCAGCTGGAGACAGGAAAGGATTTCACAGCAAAGATGGCCCTTTTATTTTGGGAATTCTGGCCTCTGGCACGTGCTGTGTTCCCGGCACAGTCGCCAAGGACGTCCTGAGCAGCGGGAGAGCTGCACATGCCAGCGATCCCGTGCTGGGAGCACGGCACAAGGGGATTCTCTTTGGATTCCGTGTCAAGGACGGCTCCAGATTCCCTATAAAGGGATTGCTTGTCCGTTTGAAACAAAAAAACCCTGCAGAACTGATTAAATATTGAAATTTGGATGGTGAATCACAGAATGGCTGGGGGTGGGAAGGACCTTAAAGCTCATCTCGTTCCACCCCCTGCCTTGGGCAGGGATGTTACGGCTGCTTTCTTTTAAGAATGAATATACGAATTTATGAATTGCAGTTAGAGATTTAAGGCGATTCTTTTTTTATACCTCTCATCTGAAGGATATTTCCCTTTGTAAAGGGACATTTTGCTGCTTTGCTGCATTCTGCCCTTTACCACGGAGGAGCAAAATCTCCCATCACACTGAAAACGTGAAAAACGCATTTAAAAAACCCAGCTGGGAATATTTTGAAAGTCTCTGTAAGGAATAGGATTAAAGCAAAGCAGGAACAGAGAGGAGACTGCTGCTTGCTTTCCCCTTATTTAAATATTCCCGCAGCTTCCTCCATTTTAATTTTTCCCAAAAAACATGGCTGTGTTAGCAGAGCTGACAAAATCAGCATCACTTCCCTGATGGTCCTCCTGTGGAGCGGGGACCTCCTTCGGGAGCAGCAGCATCCCAAATTCCCCAGCGCTTCCAGGCACGCAGCTGGATCCGTGCGGATCAATTCCCGTTCCTTTGTGCATTCCCGGATCTCATCCCTCGCTCCCGGGCGAGCGCATCCACCCACGGGCGGAGGATGCGCTGCCAGGCTGGGATCAGCAGCTGCAGGATTTTGTGGGATCTCTGCCTCGGATGAACGCTGATTTTTTGGGATTGGGAAAGGATCCTCTCCCGTCGGAGCGGCGATTTCTCCGGGAGGATTTGTGCTGGCTCGCCAGGAGCTTTCCAAAATGCCTGAAGCCAATTATTTGTTATCTGTGTCTTGGGGTTACATTAAGGTGGGTTTAATTCCTGAAGGGTTATTAATTACTGAATTATTAATGGCTGGTTTTTTATTAATTATTATTATTTTTGTGCTCGGAGAAAGCCTCTGTGAGGAAAATATTCTTTAAAAGCGCCGATTTCTGTGTGTTTTGGCTGATCATGTGTGTAAGTGTGCATGCAGAGTCCATGGATGTCATTTTTGGGGGGAATTCGGTGATGCAGCAGTGAAAATGTTGGATTATAAAACCAGCAGGATCACAGCATGAATATTTAAGGGAATAATGCCTGAATCCCACATTTTGCCGAATGATCTTCAGATTTAGGGCAGATTTCTCCTCCGGATATGCAGTTGTTTGTTAAATACAAAATGGAGCAAATGGAGAAAATCCAGAACAAAAGAAGGTTCAGGGGAGGGGAATCTCAAGCTGAGATAAAAAGCTGAGCTTTCGGAGACATTTACCTGAACCGTTCTCTCCTCGTTTGTGACAGTAACAATTAATGAGCATCTTTAGAGGAAATCAACTCCGGGGGCTGAAAAGAAATTATCCAGTCACGGTGATGCCGAGCAGGATGGAAATGAAACCATCTGTCGCCTCCATCCCAAATATCCGCGGAATTCTGCGGGCTGGGGGAGTCTCCCGTGCTAAGGCTGTGTGGATTTGGGACAGGATTCCATAAAAATGCCATTTTTCTGTGCTCTCCCCCTGGCAGTTCAAGAGGATGCTGAACCGGGAGCTCACACACCTGTCCGAGATGAGCCGCTCCGGCAACCAAGTGTCCGAGTACATTTCCAACACTTTCCTGGGTAAGGAATGCATCCCGAGATATTTATTTTTGCCTCAGGGAAGGGTTAAGAGCAGCCTGATTGCCCCCATTGACAGCTTCCCTCTTGGGGTTTTCGCTTTGGAGTGGCTGCGGGAGGGGGGGGAATGGTGTTTGGATAAATGTATCCACAGAGGAATTCCTTCCCCAGCCTCGGGATGTTCCTGGGAGGATTCCAGGGGATGTTTCTGGGAGGATTCCGTGGGGCTGGTGCTGGCTGCCTTATGCAATGCTGGGTTTTTGTGGTGACCTTATGGAAAGGACAAAGCCACAGAGAGCCGGTGCTGCCTCCTTCAGCTGCACCTTCCCCCAGAGACGGGGCTCAGACTAAACCTAACCAAAATTTTATTCCTTACTTGGTGCAAATCTGCTCATTTTGCACCACAAGTCAGGGGGAAAAAACCGGAATATTTTGCATTTCGTTCAATCTGTAGGAGCTCCGAGCTCCACGGACATGAATGAATCCTCTGTTCAATGTTTGCTAGGAGAAACGGGATTTTCTCAGGAAGCAGCTTCAGGATTTGTGACCATTTGCATCCCAAATGAGTGTCCTCATATTTATGGACACCCCTGAATCCAACAGCTCCAGAGAGTCTGTGGGTGCTGGGCATTCATGGCCCGGGGTTGGAACAGCCTGGAAAGCATTGCCTGTGTGACACACAATTATTCCCATTAAGGATTTTAAAGTGATTCCAATATCCAGCTGCAACTGCAGCCTGCAATCCACAGCGTTAATAATCCCTGGAACTTTGGAGCTGCTTTGTGGGAATGCATTGATTTTATTGCTCAGCTGAAGCCAGAGCGTGAATTCAAGCAGGGAATAGGACGGGATTGGGATGCACAAAGGGGCAGATCCAGGGATTTGGCCGGTGGTCAGCTCCTCCCAGCTCCATGTGAGTGTGGAGTGGGAAATGCCAATGTGGCCACCAAAAATAAACCCCACAAACACTCAGGGCAGTGGAGCCTGAATCCCAGCAGGGGCTGATGAGCCAGAGCTGCTGCTGGGGTTGTTTTAGTCACAGAATTCCAGACTGGTTTGGGTTGGGAGGGACCATAAGGATCATCCAGAGCCACCCCAGCCACGGCAGGGACAACTCCCACTGTCCCAGGCTGCTCCAAACCCATCCAGCCTGGCCTTGGGCACTGCCAGGGATCCAGGGACAGCCCCAGCTGCTCTGGGAATTCTATCCCAGGGCCTGCCCACCCTGCCAGGGAACAATTCCTGCCCAAGATCCCATCCAGCCCTGCCCTCTGGCACTGGCAGCCATTCCCTGTGTCCTGTCCCTCCATCCCTTGTCCCCAGTCCCTCTCCAGCTCTCCTGGAGCCCCTTCAGGCCCTGCAAGGGGCTCTGAGCTCTCCCTGGAGCTTCTCCTCTCCAGGTGAGCACCCCCAGCTCTCCCAGCCTGGCTCCAGAGGGGCTCCAGCCCTGGAGCAGCTCCAGGGGCTCCTCTGGAATCTCTCCAGCAGCTCCAGGTCTGAATTCCTGCTATTCCCCGTGCTCAGGAGCTCCCTTGGCAGGGCAGGACAGCGCTTTGCTCATCCCCGTGCTGCTCCTCCTGTGCCTGGGGACATCGGGGTGACATTGGGGTGACATCGGGGTGACATCGGGGTGACATCCCCCGTGTGAGGCCACTCAGGGCCTGGCCCTGCTGAGGGGGACAGGCTCTCCAGATCGCAGCCTGATTGCTCATCTTAATAAAAAATAAACCAAACAAACGAGGGAAGCTTTTCAAAGCTGTTTCAGGAAATCGTGCTGCTACGGCTGTTTCATTTTTTCCTCCCTAAAAATTTAATTAAATTAGATGAACACCCAAATTAACGGGAGTCTGCAAGAGAGGAGGCTGAACCAACAAACAAAAAGAGATATGTGGGTAGGACACTCATTTATCTCCAAAGCTGGGGATGATGCAGAGATATTAAACCCAGATCATGTGATTTCATTCAGCCTTTTGATTTTATCAGGCCAAGGAGGGACAGGACACAGGGAATGTTTTCCCACTGCAGGAGGGCAGGGATGGACGGGATCTTGGGCAGGAATTCCTTGCTGTGAAGGGGATGAGGCTGTGGCACAGGGTGCCAAACACCCCTGGCAGCGCCCAAGGCCAGGCTGGAGCAGCCTGGGATGGTGGAAGGGACAGAACCTGTCGATCTTTAACCTCCCTCCCATCCTAACTCAGTCCATAATTCCGTGCTGAAATGAGCTGGGAAGGCTCCAGGGAGGAGCAGAGGGTGCAGCCGAGCGTTCCCAGCCAGGACAGGGCGCGGGAAGGTCGGAGATGACCACGGTGGTTTCACCCTTGGTCACACCAAGGGCCGGGCACCACCGCCACCCCCGTGGGGACAAACCATGCAACCAACCCGGGATTTCTGCTCCGGAATGGCCATTTGGAGCTGTCTTAGTCACTGCTAAGGAGATTATGGAGAGGAAAGTCCTTCAGCAAAATCCAGGGAACACCCACTGATGTCAGCCGGGCTCTGCTGTGAATAATGGCTCCTTTCCTAATTGCTGCTCGGGATTTCAGAGGGCTTTAATTAAAAGTAACTCCTGCCTGGAAGCCTCTGGAGGTCCTCAAGGTGTGCAGAGGTCGTGGGAAAATCCATGGAAAACGGTTTGGGGGGAAGTAATGAGCCACTGGATCTGCGCTCTCAGAAATTCAGGGCGGTAAATAACACGTGGTTTTAAAGATATAATTATTTACTAAAAACATCTCCACAGCCAAGTTTGGGCCCTCTTCACATCCACTGAAACTGTGATTATCTCTGAGGATGTTATTCCAAACATATCCATAAAGGAAAAATCTTTAATAAATCACTGACACCCATTTGTTACTGGTTTTAAGAGCAAGGGGTATTGACCCTAAAAAGTGAAAATAGGGAAACTGATGTGGTTTTACCTTATTCAGGGGAAAAAAAAAAAAAAGTGTTGTTTGAACATTTTATTTCCCTGAAAT